AAAAAAAAAAAAAACAGTGCTTTTTTATCTTGTCAATCTGTCACTCTCAATCTTTTGTAGATTGATTTGTGAAATTTATTCGGGAATCTATTATTATTGTCTCTTTTTTTTTTGGCAATAATACTTGACTAAAGAGTCTCTTTTCTCTTTTCTTATTTTCCTTCTTTGTTTTGATTTTTCGAACCTATTTGGATTTACTTATTTTAAGTTTTTTTTAAACACTTTTGAAGTGTTTGGGTAAAACAAAAAAGTGCTCTTAAGCACTTGTTTTTCAAAATTAGGCTCGAATTCTCTCTCTTTCTTCCGTGACAACAAGTACTCACTCGGTCACTCCCTTCTTCTTCTTCGTTGATAGTTTATCTTTTCCACTTCCACAATTAATTAAAGCTTGATAAGATATATATGTATATTCACAATAAACATTTTTTTTTTATATATAACTTGAAGCTATATATATAGCATACCAAATTTGAGATCACAGAACTGAAACTGAGGTGTAGTTAATTACTATCGTGATTTAAGGAAAATGAGTGAGCAAGTGTATATTAATACCAATGGAAACACTAATCAAAGAACACAATTATGACATGTTAGTGTGGGGCATTTTAATATTATAAAAAAAAATGTTGCATTGCCACATTGACCGTTGTCATTACTTCCTCTATTCATGGTTGCATTAGGACATACGTTTGTTGACTTTCATTTGCAGAACGTGGGGAGTAATGGCTGCTGGCCGTTGGTGGCACTTAGTGCTGCTTTACACCATTTGGAGTTACTGTTTGTTATGTTACATTTCCAATTCTTGAAGTAGCTCTTAGCCGTTGGTGGCCTTTGCCATTACTTCTCCATTATGCTTTCTCAATTATACCTTGTAACATATGTAACTCCTAAGGCCATTTATCTTCACTATTTACTACCCCATTATCTTTTTCTTCATTACTAGGAAGACTTCTTCTAGTATAAATAGTGGCTTCATTACTAGGAAGACTTCTTCTAGTATAAATAATGGTGGTCTTCATTTGGTTTAGAGACGCAAGAAAGATATAGAGAGGAAAAGTTAGTCAAAAAAGAGAGTTCTTATTTGTTGAAGGGAGGTGTCCTTTTTAATTGCTAAGACTCAACTTGTAACATCCGACAATTTGAAATAGCTAAGAAGAGGCTTAGAATTTGAAAATTTTCACTTAGGACAAGTTAAGAAGGACTACTGCTGGACCGGTGAAAAACATTTACTGCAGTGAGCTTGAACTCCTTAAAGAGAGCGAGATATCCGCGCCTCAGCCTGAAGAGATTTTGGTTTCTTCATTTTATTTTTCAATTGTAAGCTTGTAATTCTGTTATTTTGTAATTTTTCACTAACAATTTTAAGGAGAATCAGCATGGCTACAATTGAAAAAACCACGGATGTCAAAGATGGGAGACCTTAACAAGCCATTTCGGTTCAATGGTAACCATTTCAAAAGATGTAAGGGTAAAATGCTTTTCTACTTAAGTCTTCTAAATGTTTCTTATGTGTTAACTGAGAAGAATCCTAAATAAAAGCAGACATCACCTCTATGAATGATGATGAAACTATTTCTCATATAGAGAAAGTGGAAAAGTACGATGGTGATTCCTATAAGTGTTGGTATTATATTCTTAATTATCTATCTGGTAATTTTTATGATTATTATGATAGAACTTACTCTAGTGCAATTTGGAAAGCTAAGTATAATACCGAAGAGGTTGGAGCGAAAAAATATGCGGCTAGTAGATTTTTTTGTTTCCAAAAGGTGGACAATAAATCAGTGGTAGACCAAGCTCAAGACTTTATAATGATTGTTGGAGAGCTCAGGTCCGAGGAGGTCAAAGTTGGAGATAACCTTATTGTTTGTGGCATAGTAGATAAACTTCCACCTTCTTGGAAGGAATTTCAAAAACTATGTGCCACAAACAAAAGGAAACCTCTCTTGAGACATTGATAATGAAAATACGTATGGAAGAAGAGGCAAGGGGCCAAGATGCACTTTTACAAACAGAAGAGAACAACATCACAACGAAGGTAAATTTAATTACTTCAAATAATGCTACTCCTGAATCTCACAAAAATACTTCTTTGAAGCCTAAGAAGAAAAAATTCAAGAAAAATAATGGTAGACCTCCCAAGAAAAATAATGGTGAAAATAACCAAACACAAAATCAGCAAGTTCAATATAAGGGGCTATGCTTTGTTTGTGGAAGGGTGGGCATATTGCTCAATTGTGCAGATTCCAGAAAAGTGGTCCTAACCCTCAGGCAAACGTTACCGAAGAATTTTTTGTGGCGGTGATTCCCGACATAAACATGGTTGAGAATGTTGATGGATGGTGGGCTGATTCTAGTGCAAACAACCAAACACAAAATCAGCAAGTTCAATATAAGGGGCCATGCTTTGTTTGTGGAAGGGTGGGCATATTGCTCAATTGTGCAGATTCCAGAAACGTGGTCCTAACCCTCAGGCAAACGTTACCGAAGAATTTTGTGACGGTGATTACCGACATAAACATGGTTGAGAGTGTTGATGGATGGTGGGACGATTTTGGTGCAAACCGTCATGTCTGTTATGACAAAGACTGGTTTAAAAAATATACTCATTTTGAGGAGCCCAAAACCATCATGCTTGGTGATTCTCAGACAACTCAAGTTCTTGGAACGGGAGATGTCGAATTGTGTTTTACCTCTGGAAGGGTGTTAACTCTAAAAGATGTACTTTATACTCCTTCCATGAGAAAAAAATTGATGTCTAGTTTTCTTCTTAATAAAGCAAGTTTTAAATAGATTATTGAATCTGATCAATATGTAATTTTGAAGAAGGGTATTTTTGTGGTAAAGGGTATGCTTGTGATGGGATGTTCAAATTGAATGTAGAAATGAATAAAACTTCTACTTCTGTTTACATGCTTTCTTCTACCAATTTTTGGCATGCTGGGTAATTTTGTGGTAAAGGGTATGCTTGTGATGAGATGTTCAAATTGAATGTAGAAATGAATAAAGCTTCTACTTCTGTTTATATGCTTTCTTCTACCAATTTTTGGCATGCTCACTTGTGTCATATTAATGATCGTTATGTTGGAATCATGAGTAGTTTAGGATTAATCCCAATGATTAAAAAGATTTTTGAAAAGTGTGAGGCTTGTAGTAAAGCCAAAATCACTAAAAGGCCTCATTTTCAAGTTGAAAGAAAAACTGATTTGTTAGAATTAGTTCATACTGATATTTGTGAACTTGGTGGAATTTTAACTCGTGGAGGTAATAGATATTTTATCACTTTCATTGATGATTTTTCTAAGTTTACATATGTTTACTTGATGAAAAATAAAACTGATGATTTTGAAAACTTAAAAGATTATCTCCATGAAGTTGAAAATCAGTTTGGAAGAAAAATAAAGAGAATTAGAAGTGATAGAGGTCGTAAATATGAGTCAAATGAGTTTAATTCTTTTGTTAGATCATTGGAAATAATTCATGAAACTACTCCTGCTTATTCTCCTTCATCTAATGGAGTAGCGGAAAGGAAATAGAACTTTGGTTGAATTGACTAATGCCATGCTTATTGAATCACATGCACCTTTAAATTTATGGGGTGAAGCTATTTTGACTGATTGTTATGTGTTGAATTGTGTGCCTCATAAAAAGTTTAAATTGACACCTTTTGAATTGTGGAAAGCTTACAAGCCAAGTTTGGGATATCTAAGAGTTTGGGGTTGTCTAGCCTTTGTGAGGCTAATGGATCCTAAGATTACAAAATTGGGTAAGAGAGTTACTACTTGTGTTTTTCTTGGTTATGCTTCAAGTAGTACAACCTATAGTATTTTTTAATCTTGAAGATAATATTATGATAGAATCGGGTGATGCTATCTTTCATGAGAATAAATTCCCTTTTGATTCTAAAAATAGTGGGGGTCAAAGTATTGAACAAAATATTTTGTCACTACCTAGTTCTTCTACTTCTACTTTGAAAAATAAAGAAATTGGTGATTTTGAGTTAAGAAGAAGTAAAAGAGCTAGAGTAGAAAAATATTTTTTCGTCCTGATTTTTTTGTGTTTAATGTTGGAGATGACCTCTCACTTTGAAAGAAACTTTATCTTCACATGACTCCATTTTTTTTGGAAAGAGGCTGTAAATGACGAAATGGAATCACTAATTTCTAATAAAACTTGGAAACTATAGTAGTATGAGTACTTGGCAGGTTTACAAGCAAGCCAAGTAATGAATATTGGCATGCTATAACAAGAGTTATGAAACTATATGGCTTGAAATAGGCACCTAAGCAATGACATGAAAAGTTTGATTCCTGCATGATTGAAAATGGTTTTAAAACAAATGAGTGTGATAAGTGCATATATCATAAGTCTTGGAATAATTCACATGTGATTATTTGCCTATATGTTGATGATTTATTGATCTTTGGCTCTAACATAAATGTTATTGATGAAGCTAAAAATATTCTTAGAAGACATTTTGATATGAAAGATCTTGGTGAGGCAAATTTTATTCTTGGAATAAAAATAACAAGAACAGGTGATGTAATTTTCCTTGACCAGTCACATTATGTTGAGAAAATTTTGAAAAAATATAAACTTTCATGATTGTAAGCATGTTGTAACTCCTTTTGATTCAAGTGTTCACTTATTTCCTGTTGAAAGTGAAAATGATGTAATAAATCAAAAGGAATATGCTAGCATATCGGAAGTTTGAAATATGTGACTGATTGCACTAGACTTGATATTGCATATGTAGTAGTATGAGTACTTGGCAGGTTTACAAGCAAGCCAGGTAATGAACATTGGCATGCTGTAACAAGAGTTATGAGATAATTAATTGGAACGAAAAGTTGTGATTTGTTCTATAAAAATATCTTGTTGTACTTGAAGGCTTTTGTGATGCAGATTGGAACACTTTATCAGGTCATTCCTGTTCTACCACTGGTTATGTCTTTACTTTAGGTAGTGGTGCTATTTGCTGGAGATCAAAAAAGCAAACTATAATTGCTAACTCTACCATGGAGGCTGAACTAATTGCTTTAGCTTCAGCTAGTGAGGAAGCGAATTGGTTAAGAGATTTATTATTTCAAATACCTTATTTTGAAAAACCAATTCCTCCTATTTTAATTCATTGTGATAGCACCGAAGCGATTGGTAGAGTTCAAAACCGTTACTACAACGGTAAATCCAGACCTATAAGGAGGAAACACAGTAATGTAAGATCGTATTTGACAAATGGTACCATTAATGTTGATTATGTCAAATCTTGTGATAATCTTGCAGATCCTCTAACTAAGGCCTTAACAAGAGAAAAGGTCTGGAGCACATCGAGGGGGATGTGATTGAAGCCTACAAATCCTTGAGTCATATATAAGGAAACCCAACCTGGAGACTAGAGATCCTATAACCAGGTTCAAAGGGAAAAACTAATCATATGATTTTGTTGTGAAAAATGCACAATTTTTTATTCCCTCCCTATGATGTGAGTGCATTGTTTCCTGTAGTTATGTGAAGGTTGAGTTGACAAAACTCTTAATGAATATCTGTAGCCCGTATGGGTGGAGTGTTAAGCTTACAGGAGCACTCTCGACAGATTTCACCTATGTGATGTGTGGAAGTAGGTCGCTTCCTATGAGAA